AGATCTGAAATCTGAGTGAGTCCAACGGCTCGGGTATCTTGGATATTAAAAGTTACGGGACTGTAAAGTTTCCGTTACATTAGCTCATGTACCCGGGCAATTAGAGTTTTTTGTGGTAGGCATAAAGACCTATTCTCTCACATCTTCGTCTTCTTCCTCCGTTGGTGTTTTAAACTCAATCTCGACATGAAATCAGATTCCACCGACCCTCCTGAAATCACATCCAACCAAAAAGTCAACACACAAGTCCCAGCCAAAGAACACATTTTGCCGGTGCGAGGATTACCAACGTTGGATATAAACAGTGACTTGGAAATGTGGAAGTTTCGAATGGAGTCTCTTTTAATCATTCTTTCCTCACCTGCACAATATACTCAGATAATGCTGGCGATGAGCGACGCCGCACTAAGCTGTGCTATCGCTGGGGGTTTCTCCGTCATCAAGCCAATCAGCTACAACTGGCATGTCTTAGACGAATGTTTCGCCAAAACTTCCAGCCCCTCGGTTTACATGCACACCTTTCTCAGTCTATGTCAAGAGCTGGGCGAAACAGCTGTCGATTACCTACACCAACTCTGTGAGATGGCATCACACGCGTTCCCTACCCTGTCCACTTCGAGCCGGGACGATGTTATTTGTAGCCGTTTTCCACAGGGTGTCTCATCAGATGAACTCAAGTGCTAACTCCTACATTAGCCAGCAAAATCAATCTCAGAAGCCATCGAGGTTGTTAAGCGATTCGAGAGCGTCGAACACATTCTCACTCCAACTACCAGTACGCCTTGCTATGCTCTCAGAACCGCCGAGCGAAGGACAACCGTCCTAGCACTACGACAACGCCGGCCAAATGCTCCATCATCCAACCAACCTACAATGCCAACCAAAATTCCGCCCAAAGAGCGTAATGATCCCAGTAAGTGCCATAGTCTATCTGTTTTCAACATAGAACCTTGCCCATATGTGCGGCAGTTCAAGTCGCCATACTTCACTCAGCACACAAAGCAAGAGAAGAAAGTAGGAGATATGCATAATGTAGACAGTAAACAGAGGTGTGAGACAAAGGAATAGTAATAACGGAGAACAAAACAGTTTCATTGGCAAACATAAGTCGCAAGGAGTGGATGCATCTGCGCTAGCCACTGAGAACGATTTTGAGCCATGTCACCAATTGTCTCCAACCATTGGTTTTACCGTCCCGAGGACCCCAACCAGGAGGTCTACATCTTCCTACGTGGCTTAGACTAACTGTTGTAGATTTTATTGACTGTTGCTGTTTTGTTTTGACCGCCGCTAGCTCTTTTCCAGCCTGACTCCATGTCAGCTAACATTGCTCGTCGAGGAAGGCGATGACTAGGCATACGTAGCACATGTCCTAACAATCTCAGTCGATGTAATTTCACGACCTCGTCGATTGATTTCCCCTCCCCTTACCTAGCACTCGACGCCTAACCTCAATATTGCTCACCTTATTATACCACTTCACGCGGGAGATAGAACGCAGACACCTATGATCAACGACAACTAACCAGCCTTACCATGTCTTCCGCTCTCAATGGCCAGGTCTCACAGCCATAAAGGACAACGGAGCGGACTGCTGAGCAGTACACACACCCTTTGGTCGATAGCCAGCCGGATATCACGTCTACACCAGAGACGGCTTAAGCTGGTATATGCGAAACTAGCCCTATGTATTCGTGCTGAGATTTCGTCAGAGATCAACCCGTCGGGGCTGATGGTACTTCCCAAATAAGTGAAGCGGTCAACGTGCTCTACGACTTCACTTCCTATTTCTAATCTAGGGGTCGGTGTAGTCCAATCCTGCAGCAACATCTTACATTTTACAGGGGCGAATCGCATGCCAAAGAAACGATGATTGCTGCTCAAGGTGTTCAGTAGACTCTGCATTTTGTCAGCATCCTTGCCTAGAAGGGCTACATCGTCTACATATTCTAAGTCAAAGAGATTATTCCCCGGGAGCAAGTCAATCTGAGTCACTGAAGTGAGTTAGGGTTAAGTCCATTAGTACGTCTATGAAGAAATTGAATAGACATGGGGATAATATCATTCTTGACGGACGCCACTAGTCGTGCTATTACTGTCACCGGTTCGGGCGCCGAGCATGGAGATGTGGACACAATAAGAAACCATAAGGTGAGCTATCTTCTAATGTGTCTTTATTTGATAAATGCTCGAAATCTCCCCTCCTCCTTGAGGGTAAAGTTGCGGGGTTAGTCCCCAAACAGTGCCTCATCTACCTGGACGATAGCATCGTGTTCGGCCAGTCTCTCGAAGAACACCATGCTTACCTTCGAGCCGTATTTCAACGCTTACGCAGGAGTAATCTTAAGCTACAAGCCTCAAAATGGGAATTCCTGCAGAAATCTGTTTTTTCCCTTGGACATGGGATTACTACACAAGGAGTGCTTACAGATAGCAGCAAAACCCAAGCAGTTGTTAACTGGCTGACCCCTAAATTGACAGCTGACGTACGCAATTTCATGGGGCTTACCTCTTACTACTGGCGTTTCTTCCAAAATTTCGCCAGTATAGCAGCCCCTCTTCGTCGATTGACAGATAAAGGACGAAAATTTATTCGGACAAACGAGTGCCAGGTAGCCTTTGTTACGCTTAAGAAATGTCTAACTTCTCCTCCTGTTCTATCGTTTCCAGACACATCAGCTGACAGTGGCCCCTTTATCCTGGATACTGACGCCAGTGAGCACAAAATAGGAGCCGTCCTTTCGCAAACCACCTCTGATGGGCAAATACGAGTGATAGCATATGCTGGCCGAACGCTGGACAAAAGAGAGACGCGGTACTCTACGACGCGTCGCGAGATGTCAGCCCTTGTATACTTTCTTACATACTTTCGCCATTACTTATTGGGGCGCAAATTTCGAGTCCGGACTGACCACAAGGCGTTACAGTGGCTACAAAATTTTCGCGATGCCGAGGGCCAACTTGCCCGCTGGCAGGAACGTTTACAGGAGTTTGATTTCACTTGTGAATATCGACCCGGGAAAAGACATGCTAACGCCGACGCTCTCTCTCGCCTGCAAGATTGCGAAAACACATTGAATGGGTTATTCGGTGCTGCAGCTGACACCGACTGGGCCTCCCTGCAGGCTGCGGATACAGCAATACCGCCCATTTATTAACGACAACAGCATGGGAATGACAAACTGACGTCCAAAGAACTACGGGACTCACCAGCAGCTACGCGGTTCATCTGCGATAAATGGGGTCTACTACGACTTATAGATGATGTTCTTTACATAGTGGAACCAAATGCCAACCCAAGACTCCTCTTCCCGACTGTTAAAGTACCCGGGCTCATCAGTCAAGTACATCAGCAACTGGGACACGCTGGCCAACGGAAATCTGAACACGCCATCCGTCAACGCTTCTGGTGGCCACTTATTCACTACGATGTTACGGAGTTTTGTCGCAATTGTGCTACATGTGCGCGGATCAAACAGCCTAAGCCAACTCCCAGAGCACCCTTAGTACCTATGTTGACTGAAGCTCCTAATCATCGGGTGGGAGTAGATATCATTGGGCCAGTGCCAGCATCGAGACGCGGTAATCGATGTATACCTTGTTATGGTTGATTATTTCACCAAGTGGTACGAAGCGTTCCCTCTGCAGCAACAAGATGCCCTGAGGATCGGGCGCGCCTTCATCGACCATTGGGTATCCCGTTTTGGTGCCCACTTTATCTGCACTCCGATCAAGGCGCTGCTTTTAAGAGTCTTCTTAGCGCTCACATCTGCAATGCTTTCGGCATCCGAAAGACCCATACTACACCTTATCATCCACAAAGTAATGGACTGGTCGAACGCACCAACAGAACCATCAAGCATCTTCTCCGTGCCTTTTTACACAATGCACCAGAGAACACCTGGGACGATGTCCTGCGCCAGTGCTGGCTGGCATACCGCTCCTCCATGCATTCGTCAACAGGATTTTCTCCGTCTCTGCTATTGTTTAGGCGTGAACTTCGCCTTTCAGTTAAGATCCGGACACCGTTGCTACCATATGAGAAGATCGACTGCATTCCCTATCTCCGCAACCTTCGTCACCACCTCGCTATAGCCTACAACCTAGCACGTCGTCATTTGCAATCTTCTTCGCAACATCAGAAGAGCAATTATGACCGGTTTGCACACTGACCAACTTATTCCCCGGGTGACTACGTGTGGCTCCATAGTCTGTCAGCCCCTGCCGGCTCGTGCCCCGAATTCTACGCCCCCTGACAAGGTCCATATGAAATTGTTCAGCACCGACCTCCGACTACATATATATCCTGAGGAACTTACGACGACCCAAGAAAATCTCATCTCAGCGCATTACAACCAGCTGTAACCACACTACCCAGAACCTGTCAAAGACCCACTGACACCTTCGCAACCGCCGCCCGCTACGACCTACTTTGAGGTTCCCACTGATGGAGGTAGTGCATATCCTATACCGCCGCCAGGCACTAGGACAGTGCCTCCAGAGGGGAGGGAGTGATGTAATGACATAGAAACTAACATGATGTCACTAAACGAGTTTCCTATTTTCTCTTTTTCAGAAAGGAACGCTGGCATCGCCGTGCTGGAGCAGGAAGAGGACCAATTGTCAAAACTTGTAATAAATAGTGACGATTAACTTCTACCCGGGTAATTCGAGTTTGTCTTGTGCGTCTATCCATTGCCAGTCGGCATGTTTATGTTTCGTTAATGGAACTCAGTTATATGATTATAATGTGAACCTCTTTAATGTTTGTTCTGGTTCTGTTTTCATTTTCCTGGGCGTGTTGTTTTAAACCTTGTGTTGGGTAATGTTTTTGTATTCAAATGAACTATTAACGACCAAATTCGGTCTTAAGTGTAAACTTACAATAATACCGAGTAATATCAGTGAAATCTTGGCAAAGTTAAACTTTAAGCACCAGTAACTACCAATCAGCGAACGAAGTCGATTTATCCAATGAGATTCACGAACGTAGTTCAATGTTGCATAGCGCTTGATTCATTTCTCTGCGCGCCAGTACAAGGTTACGTTTGCAATTTGAGGAGGTTAGTGTCTTTTATTATTGCCTGGACTGAGGCTTGCTTGGAAAGGAGAGAAGTTGTTCGTGTGGTGGTGTAGTGACTCTAAAAAGCTATACTAGGTCAACTGATGGTTTTGTACGTCGTTGTGGAATATGCTGGAAGCGAGTTAGTATTAGAGAGGGTAATATTTCTTAGGAACTTTTTTGCTAGGTCGCATCTCTCCCTAACCCAGATTTTGTACGTTTGCAACTACTGGATACTGAAACAGCCCGTGAGAGCCGCTGCTGCCGAGACGGAGAACAGCCTCGTCTCAACAGTTCAGTGGTATACCACTGGTATACCAGCACTGCAGGGACATCGCCTCATGGAAAATGTACAGAAGTACTTCGTTGTTAGGTGGGGACGATGTAGTAGTCCATGTGGATGAGACAGTGTTGGTGAAGAAGACATATAACCGCTGTCGTCAGAGAGCGAACAACATTTGGGTGATAGGTTTATACGACAAATCCCTCCGAAATGGGTTTGTTGAAACAATAGCAGAGAGGAAGGAGACTGCTCTGGTACCTATTATGAAGCGACTTGTAAAACCGTGATCAGTTATGCATACCGACGAGTGGAAAGGCTATCATTTCGTGTGACTTCTCTATTGACAGTCGCACGCTGAATTGGGAAATGCTTCTGTCCCATGTTCGCGAAAGATACCCGTTGTAACTGTTTCACCCTATTTTGGCAAAGTTCTACAATAGAGTCCCAAGGAACGAACGCACAAGTGACCTTGAGCAGACCAGTCAGAAAAAAGGATGATTTTTGCATAAAATCTTACGTATATTTACATATAAAAGCATAAAAAACGTTAAACAGGATGTTTTTCTCTAATATGAGATAAAAATATCTCCCAATTTTGTATTGGGGTTTCAGTTTTTAAGTTGAACCAATTTCTATACATGTATTCATCCAGATGACTAAAAATAACTTGGTTTTGAAAACCATTTATAGCTTTTATTCTATTTTTTAATCTTCCCCAGAAACCTTCGATGGAATTATTATGAGTACCGGTGACAGGGTCGACGGAATCATTCGAATGGTTCACTCTATGGTGTATATATCCCAATTGTGACTTTTGGCTATATTCCGCCCATTCATCTGTGTGAATGGTGGTGCCTGGTAACACTAGACGCTGAATAATAGGGAGGAGGAGTGTATGAGCACTCCTATCTAGAATCAGCTCCATAAACCTTTTGCGAATCTAGGTATCATAAATTCCTAAAACCTAAACGTTATTCGCTCTGGCACCCAGTAAGTGGACAGAAAGAAGATATTCAGGCAAAGTTAAACTTTCGACACCAATAACAACCAATCATCAAAGACAGTTTCAACTTTTCAAAGAAAGTTCCTAGAAGACAATTAATTCAGTGTCGCTTACCAGTATGCACAATTATTCGCGCTAGAATAATGGTGAGCTTCCTCAACCAATAACTAGAATGCGTTCAGGGTCATTGGAACATTTACAATCTTGGGACTCTATTGTTGAACTTCGCCCCTATTTTTTTATGCATTTTTCTATAAATATACGTTACCACTTATCATAAACGCCTCTTTCATGTGATTGGTCCGTTCAAGGTCGTTTGCTGATTGGTAGTTACTGGTGCTTAAAGTTTAACTTGGCCACTTTAACTCTAAACCTAACCTTAACCCTAGGCCATAAACCTTAATCTTAAAAGCCATAACCCTACCCAACAGCATATATTTGCAGAGAAAGTACCTAGTAAATAAGCAGAGTACTGAATCTGCCCTCTCCAAGTCCCAAAAGGCAGGCGTGACTTGATTTGGAACATTTCATAGCACTCCCTATGTCTGATCGGTTCTTTCAAATTCTTCGGCTTTGGCTATGATACTTTAACTTCGCCGACAAAGTTTTTAATGTTCGTTAACTGCATGCACACTCCATGCTATGATAAGTCGTGATAATTGACATGCGTGACGAAAAAAGTCAGTACTACCCATATATAAGTAAAAATGAGTCTCTTAATAAGTCTTGTGTTTCTTACAATTTGAGGTCGATATTAGACGGAGATTTGGTCTATATTCGTAGGTTCACAAGTCTAGATAGTGTCATCGGGTCTCATAATAGGTGTGTTTTGAAATGTAAGTCTTAAAGGTGTCTCTCTCTCCATGATTAAGAAAATGTAACCTTTAAGTATCAATTAGGCTGATATCCCATACGGACAAAGGTTGGTGTAGAAAGTATTAACTCCTTTTTACAATTATATTGAATTCTCTGCTAACTTACTGTGTTGCAATAAATCATGGTACTTTTCAATAATTTTCGTATTGTAAGTAAATAAGGACCTTCATATCTACTGAGCTCTTGGGTTGGATAGTTTATTCCTAATGTACAAAAGATGGTGTAATAGGGTGAGAAATATTGAGGTTAGCCTTCAGTCGAGTACTAGGAAAGAAGGAAAAATGGATTGACAAGGTTGTGAAGTCACATCGATTGAGATGGATTGGACATGTGTTACGTATGCCTACCTAGCCATCGCTTTTCTCGACTGTGAGCAATGTTAGCTGACTGACATAGGACACATAGGACATAGGACCCGTGACTTGAATTTTCCTAGATCCTTTCTAAACATTTTCGTATCTTAATTTTATACTACTCGCATACTTTAACATTATTTTTAGATTTATAAGTGTCCAAGTCAAGTTGTATAGTGTTATTACTGTTATTCATATTTTCCACTTAATTGAAAAATCAAAATGTTGTTTCCTGATGTTTCACTCTAACGCTACTAGATTTATCAAATTAATAATGAACTTGAATTGAAAATAACTCAGCTTATATTTACTAGCCCATTCAAAGTTATTCTTTAATGAATTAATTCTGCATTTTCAAGTGAATAAATTTATCGAGGTGAAACAGCCACATTCAGATTCTCGGGTTCGATTAGCATATCTTGTTGTTGTTATTGTCGTTGATAACTCATTTTTCTTGATGCCGAAAACCAGTAGTCGGAGACACTTGATGTCTTGTCTCAAAATTGTCCACAGATATGCGAATGTCTTCACTAGTTATCTCTCTGAAATATGCTCTTTCATTGCTACGCCTATCTCTGCTCTGCGGTAACTTGATAATGCTGTAAATTGTATCAGTATAGTGTTGTTCAAAGCTGTGTATTGATTAGTTGGTTCTTTGACTAGCTGACTGACTGACTGATTTCAACATGGAACTTTGCAGAAGTTTGAGTTGCCACTCATACCTCCATGTGGCATACAAAGCAAGAGAAGAAAGTAAAGAGAGATTCAAAACACTAAGAGGTAATAAACAGAAATACCACGCAAAAAGAATAGTAATATGGAAGAACAACAGAATTTTATTGGGTATGACAAATCACAAGAAGGGGGTGCCTCTGCACCAAACATTGAGAACAATTTTGAGCCAGCCATATCACCAATTTTCTCCAGCGTTTATCGGCTTTTACTATTTCGAGGACCCCAACTGTAGTCAGTCTGGAGGTGTACACCTTCCTTCCTTGGTGTGTTGAATTCTGCAATAATCCTAAAGCAAGCTCGCTCAGATGCGTAGTTTCTGCTATTAGGGAGGATGTCTTCAGACCATCATTTCTGTTCATCATACTAAGAATTTTACACTGTATTTTATTTACTGCTTGTGCTTTTTGTTTATTGAGTTGCTCAGTAAACTACACCATGGCATTTTCTTTAACAAAAAAATGTTTTATTTATGATTGTTAGAGATTAATCTATCAGAATGTTAAATGATACAGTGAATTTATTTATTGAAACTGGTACCGACTGTAATGCTACAGGATCAGCCACTTGGGATTGTGCTGGACATCAGGTCACTTTTTCAATATATGGTCCAGAAGAATCTAAAATCACCGATGAATTAACACATCGTGCTACTGTTGATGTTACAGTGACGCCTAGAGCTGGTCTCCGCACTTCAAAAGAAGCTGAACTTGAAGTTTATTTCAACAGTCTAATTGAACGTTTGATTGATGTGAAAGATTTTCCACGGTGTAAAGTTAGTTAGTTAGTTAATTAACATGCCTTTTTGAGTATTTAATATTTTATACAATTATTTCCTTTTGATGATGTCGTTTTTAACTGGCTATCTCCACGATTGCCCATAATCTCTCATCGCCTCCTGAAAACACGATCTCCTCCATGTCACCCTCGCACTGACAATCCACTCGTCGCTACCCATTTGGATTCCACTGCAGCGATGGCCTGGCTTGAGTGCAATACCATTCGATGGTTTCTTCAATGTATGACCGATCCATCCATCTCCATTTTCTCGTACATATTTGTTGAGCGATCGGCTCTCGCCTGTTGGCTCGTCGCCAGCCAGAGTCCCACGTAGCTAATTCTTTCTGGCCGGCCGGCTGGCCATGTGGTCTTATTTATGTAGCTAGCAAAGGAGGTCTGTAACTTCTTGAAAATACTTTTCGTGATACGCTGGCCAAGTTTCTGACCTATATAGAAGGAGCGATTCGATATTGGTTTTGAAAATCTGAATCTTATTACCTATGCTGAATGCAGAGGATTTCCAAACTGTTTTCAGGTTGATGAAGGTGTATCTTGAAGATGTCAAAGTCAGTCAGCCAGCCAACCAGAATCGGAAAGGTAAGATACGCCTTCATCAACTTGAAACCAGTTTGGAAATCGTCTCCACTAACTCAGTCAGCATAAAGAACAAGATTCAGATTCTGTTCAACACCAATTTCAAGTCAGTCCTTCTTAACGGGTCAGAAATATGGCCAGCGTACCACGAATAGGGTTCCCAACAGGCAGCTACGAACTTTTGTCAACAACTGCCTCCTTCTCTGGCTCTACAGTGATTAAGATCATGTGACCAGGAAGAATTATTAACAAGAGACTCTGGCTTGGAGCGAACCAGCAGGCGACAACCGATCGCTCAACAAATATGTAGGAGAAAATGGAGAAGGATGAATCGGGCATACATTGAGGAAACCGTCGAATGACATCGCACTCGATTCAGACCATCACTCGAGTGGAATCCAAATGGGAAGCTATGAAGGGGGTCGTCAGTGCGAGAGTGATATGGAGGAGATCGTGTGTTGGGTAGGAGTATGAGAAGGAGATGAGATTATGGTCAATCGTGGAGGACACAGCTGAAGAGGATGGCAGAAAACAAAGCAAATTGGAGATGTGTTGTTGAAGCGAGACCTCTGTCTCACCAATTGGAACCCAAGGGAATAATAATATATAATTTAATTTCCTTTGGTTCAGATACTTTAATAGTTATTAAGTATACTGGTGATGGATATTAATATCACGTGAATAAATGCCATAATGGAAGGTGCGGGGATAAATGTTGCTGCTTTGATTAGACAGTAGGCAGTAGTAGTAAGTAACACGTGTCATGCGTCTAGTCTGCATCGCCTTTAATGCAGACTGACTTCTTAAATCAGTCAAGCTTGCAATCTGTGGTCACCAACCAGGCTAGGTGGGTTCACCATCACGGTGCAGCGGTTCACTCTGAATTGTTATTTTTAGATAAGTTGGAGGTGTAATCGACAGGAAACTTTCGACCTGGATTTTGGTGTTTTTTTCCATTAGTTAGTTAGCAAGGCATAACTGCAATATTGAGACTCGAACCTGAACCTCCACTCATGTAACAACAATTCAGAGTGCATTGTGATGGTGAGCCAGCCACCTAGTGGCATGGTGGCCATATTGCAAAACTTGACTGTTATGAGAATTCAATCTGCACCAACATAAGGACTGGAAGCAAAATATTGGTTACTACCCTAGCCTCCAATCAGAGTATCCATTACAGTTCTACAGGAGGAGGTCAACCGAGAGCCTGAATAGCCTGGTGTTGCTGTGTCTGACTACAGCACTCACTGGGTGACGTGCGTTCGAATTTCTGAGGGGACAGATACCCTATGTTGTGACAAGCCCGAAATCTAGTTCAGATAGGGCTTCGTGTCTGATTGCCTCCATCGATCCATCCAAAGTCAGTCTCAATGATTGAGTTCTCAACCAGGCAAGAGCGTTTTAACAAGAAAGTTCTGGGTTCGATCCCTGGAAGGGTGTACAACTGAAGAGTTCAAGTTTTGTGGGACGAAACAGCTGTCCAATACCCCCTTGGTGGGGGTCGATGGTTCAATGCTAGAATGTTCACCATCCAATTCACTCGTGCTCCGGGGTTCGACCCCCAGCCGACAGACTCCTAAACTTCATTCATCTGGTAGTGTGAGCTTAGTAAAGAGTGAAGATTGGGCTAATGTTCCCCCCGCCCCACCAACAAAAGCTGAATCTTAAAGGCCTATGTTTCACTTGGAACTCAATGAAATGGAGGAAAACTTGATACTCATTTGTAGGTCATCGTGGTTTTAGACGTTTATGAAAAATACAATACATAGGGTCGTATACTAGAATCACTTTTACTGTATTAGTTCAGCCCCTCCCCAATTTGATTTTGTCTTTTCTCTCTCTCTCCCTCTTTGTATTTTTTAGTTTATAGGACGTTTGTATATTGTTTCTGGTCAAACAAATGATTGCAGAACAGTAGCAGCCGCTATAAATGCTATTTCACTTTCTCTCCTTGTTTCACATTTACCGTTAAGAGCAACAATAGCAGCAATATGTCATACAATTCAGAATACAAGTACGTAAGTAAGCGAGCGAGCTGGCAAACAAGGAAGCGATAGTATGTCTTTCTTTTGTCTCCATTGTAGGATAAATGCCGAATTCTCTCTCACATATGTTTGTATTGTCTCCTATTCAACGCGCAGATGTACTGGTTGTTATACTTTTGATTGCAACACTTAGTTAGCAACTAGTGTAGTGTGTGTGTGTGTGTGTGTGTGTAGTCCCCTTTGTTTGATACAGACTGAATTCTATCAGTCAGTCAGGTAGGTGTTTGCAGTGTGGCCACTATGCCACTAGGTGGTTCGCCATTACGGTGCACTTTGAATTGTTGGTATTAATTAGATGGTTGGAGGCAATTGACAGGAAGTCTTACCCTTGACTTTACACAGCTCAGACCAATACTCACTAATTTAAGAGTTATATATATATATATATATACATATATATATATATATATATATGGTTTTTAAGAAATTATCTCCCGTGAGGAAATTTAAACGTGCGTGTGAATATGTTGTCAGGCGACTCGGCGGCTACGGATTTAGGATATGTATTCTGTTGCAGACAACGGAGAGTGAAAGCACGATGATTGTGCCAATTACACAGTTTCTTTGTTAATTTAATTCGATTGCAAAATAATTTAAATGAACTGTCGTCAAGTATTGACAGAATAGTTCCAATATACAGTTGGGTGCCGAGTGAGAAGTAGACATTTTTAAAAATAATTATATTTGTAAAATCTCAGCGAGATTGAAATGAGTAATTCCAACGTTTCGTTCAGCAGACTGGTGGTCCGAAATTCTTCAGGGAAATTAATCGAAATTAAAATAACAAAGGTTTATATATATAAAAGGAACATCTCTTGTTTTTAAAAACTTTGTCCAATCATGAGTCATAAAACAAGTATCAACATGTGTAATACACAAAAGAAAATTGTATTAGCTGTGATCAAAATTTGACCTCGGACTTGCAAATATCGGTCTACTTTTGTTAAACACTTTATACAGAATGTACTTTTCATTATAAATCATTTAAATTAATCCCAGCGTGTTAAGAAAATCAAAACAAGATTTCTCTGAACGTTTCGCTGTGTAAGCCACAGTTTCTTCAGCAGATTTATCTTGTTTTGATTTTCTCAACACTCTGGGATTAATTTACATAATTTATAATGAATCAATCTGACTCGGCGCTCAAATTATTTCAGGAAGTTCGTAACACCTACGGTCTGGAAACTTAGAATGTACTTTTCATCAGAATTTTAGTGATTACGTTCGACTAAAAGTTCATGGTCGTATATAACTGAATATGAAAATCTATATTTGTATATTCGGTATACATTGGTGTATGTGTGTGTGCGTGAACAGTTGTAAAACATTTCTTAACGTCTCCATAAGAAGATATGGACAGTCGAGAATGTTGACCAAGTATTATTAATTAGTGATACGTATCCATTTTTATTTATTAATCAGGATTTGCTATGCATCAGCTAACATCACACCTTCATGTCTGTTCAAACTCTTGGGATTTACTTTATATAATTATATATATATATATATATATATATATATATATATATATATATATATATATATATAGGGCTTCTGTAGGCAGTCTTTCTCTCTTTAAACGAATCAAAACCTTTCTGTAGAACCTTGATCCTGTCAAAGTCGATCTTGTGTCCCGTTTCTATCGGGTGTAGTGCAATCGCCGATCTGTTTTCTATTTTCTTTAAATCTGCAGCGGTATTTGGAAGGAACCACCATTAGGTATCTTTTTTAATGCTTATTCATCACTATTGTATTTGCCTGTCTGGAAGTTTCTCCTACATATACACGGCATTACAATCCCCACAAGTGATTTGGTCCACGTAATTTCGAACCACCAGTTTGCTGAATGAAACGTTGGATGTACTTATTTTAATTCCGCTGAGATTTTACAAATATACATATATATTTTTTTACAAATGTCTATTGCTCACTCGCTGCCCAATTATGTTGGGACTATTCGATCAAATCGTGGTCACAGTTCATATGAATTATTTTGCAATTGGATGTAGAGATGTTGGGGAGGAATATAAAATCAATAGAATCAATAAAATCAGTAAGCAATTGAAAGAGAAGACCAGCAGTTCAGCGAAGAGTCTCTTTTCTCCGGCGAATTCATTTTCACAGCTGTACAATCGTATATATATATATATATATATATATATATATATATATATGGCTATTTTGTATGTGTGTGTACATTAAATTTGTCAAACGAAAATACAATTAGTAAGTTTTTGGTAGAGTTAAGTAATACAAAAAGCGTTCAGAGGAATTTTGATGTTGATATAATAGGGTAGTAATAAAAGTGACGAGTTGGCATAAACGATTGTTAAAGAAGAGTTGTGTAATAACATGAATAGTTTGATGAAAGAATTGTGCTCACGGTGCTCACATGGAAACAAAATAAAATACGGAATTACGTAAGACTTTTAAGTGGTTAGAAAAGAAAAAACAAGCAAAAGTTACGTCAAATTAACAGAGTTACCCCATGATAGTAGATGTGTAGCTGAATAATTTTCTTTTGTATGCATAGTTTTGGTTTTTCTAACTGCAGAGCAAAGTTGATTTAGAATGACAAGTGGAACAAGTGAAATAATACCGGGGACAATTAAAAGTGAGAGTAATAATAGTAACAATTGACTTAATAAGGAAGAGTATACAAATTGAATAGACAAAAATGAAAAATTGGTAGAGCCAAAATATCATTGGGGATTGCCATACTTTAGCATAGAGGGATTGAGACCATGAAATAAAAGTTGGAGGGGTTGAACGAACTTTTTCTGTACACAGAGATCTGGCTTTTCTGTTTTGGTGGCCAAAGCTTCAGCAATACAGTTGAGTTGGATACATAGGGATTTGGGCAAATTACTTTTTGCCTTGTAGATGACTTTAAAGGCGGAAGCTGTGGAGATAAGGAGATCATTATCGACCAGATGTTCTGTTCAATGATCCCGCTTCTTGTAGCTCCACTTCTACCTCTTCGTAACCATGCAGGACAGTCTTCTTGTACTACCGATATAGCTAGCTCCACACGAGCAGGTGAATTGATAAACGCACTTAGAGTCGGTCAACTGTGGGATCTTGTCCTTCAGGATATTGAATGGTAATGGTAGACTGGATAACACTATTTTCAACAATGCAGCAGGGAATGTCCTTTTCAGGGACTGTGAGATTCTTCTTGTAGTGTATGCTGTTCCTCTATTACGCCTATTGTTACTATTACTATTCTCACTTTGAGTTGTCCTTGGTCTTATTTCACTTGTCATTCTAAATCAATTTTGTTTTGCAACGCTAAATTCTATGCTATCAAATTTCACACAGTGTTACGCATTATCCATTATGGATAAGATTTTATATTGATAAGTCACACAGTGTTATGCAGTAAGTAATATTAACTGATGACTTTTCGAGCACAAACTATTGCTCATAATCATATCAAGTTACTCACACAACTTTTTTCTTTCATTTATATACATGGGTAGAATTGATTAGACATTTGAATCAAATCAATATAAGATAATGTACATTGGGAAATAAGACGAGTGTTTGTATAGTCATAATAAGTAACGTGTTAGAATGTTGTGATGTGCTTGAATTGAAATAGAATTTCAAGATTATTTATTATCCTCTTCTGATTTGACTGGTGGTAATAATATCTTCCATATCTCTGGTATTTGCATTGAGTCACTTCTACTGCATGTGTTGGGTGTAGACCCAATGAACAAAGATCCAGTAATCAACCTCTCTCTCTCCACCTACATAGATTACTTCTTAGAATCTTAGCCCCTCTCCCACCCTATTGTGTGGTTGCGTGTTAATGCATGTAGTGCAATTGCTGAGCTTTTTTTCTAAATTACTCATCTTCTTTGGGTCAGTCATTCTTACCTTAGCTAAATTCTTATGTTCCGACAATCTGATTACCCCCGATCTACTAGTTTGACTTATGTAGTTGACCTAACTCACAGTCACTGCAGGGTATTTTGTAAATTATATTATTTTGTGTAATTGGGTCCACCGAGTCTTTTAGCCTACAGAGTTTGTCTCCTGCTTTATTAAGAATCTTACGTAGGGTCTCAGATGTCCCCTCCTTATATGGTATAACAGTGGATGACTTATATTCTCTCCTATCATTGCACACCCCTTCCAAGTTCTGTACAGACAAGCGTTCCGAAGATATTAATGTGTTGATTTTTCTCTAAACACCTTGATCTGGTCGAAGTTATCCCTCAGATTAATCTAGGACATTTGTATTTGCTGTACTCTGGGTATTTATGAACGTATTCCATTTTTCTATTAAAAGTGTAATCCGAAATCATTCGATTGTTCATTAGGGTATAATAAATATCATGTGTTTACTGCTTTCTGTTGATGCTGATAGAATTCTACCGGTCAAGTAAGTATGCTGTGTGGTCACCTAGTTGTATGACTTGTCATCCTAGTGCACTTTGAATTGATGTCAGATGATGATTGGAGATAATCGGGAGGAAGTCATGACTCCAGCGTTTTGGAGCTTACTGGCACCTCTTCGGCGCGATGTATGTGCAACTTTGAAAGAACTGATGTCCCCTACTATCGGAGATTCCAACCCACGTCACCCAGTTATGCTGTCAGAGTTGTTACCACTGAATTAATTGGCTTCATCAACCACACACACACACAGGAAATTTAGGTTCGAAGCTTCCTGCCGACAGACTACCTTCAACCATCCATACTGATTTTCAGGAGTGAAATTGTAGGGAATTTATTTTTTTTTCAAGTCTAATGACGGACTGATATCAGTTAGAGAACCACTGAAAACCAGTAGGGACTACTGGACAATTGGGGCTCGAACCCAGGAGCATCCGGACGGAATTGCTTGCACTTTTAGTGATTAGTCATGACCAGTGTTGTCCGTCAGTTCATGTGTGTGGGTGCGTGTATGAGGACAATTATTCGCCGATGAGATACTGGCTGATGCTCAAGCTAAAGAGTCATGCATTTATTCTCCCCTTTAGTCTAGCATTCTGTACACCCCAACACTGTGTAATGAATGTTTGGCAAAGTTAAACAACAGCGTCCCAAGGGGTACGAACGCACGAGTGACCTTGAGACGACCAACCAATAGAAATGAGTTATTTTTGCACAAGAATGACATTTATTCACAAGAAAATTTAATGAAAACACAATAAACAGGGTATCTTGCTCTGAAATGACTTAAAAATACTTCCTGGTTATAATGAGGAGTATCATTTTTTTAAAAGTTGAACCAGTTTCTGTACATATATTCGCCGAGGTGACTTAAGGCGGGTTTTATTTGTAACCTGTTTATCGCTCTTATCCTGTTTTGCAGTCTTTCCCGAAAGCCCTCGGTTGAATTTCTACGGTTTCCCAGTAGGAGGATCGACGACTACTTACTAGGGTAAGGCGGATAAGAAATCGAATTCAAATAAATAATACCAACTCCAAAATCTATTCCTAATCGTAACCATAACCTTAATCCTAACCCTAATACCTACCTTAACCCTTTTCCTGACGCGATACTAATACTATGCAATTAATAGTGTTCTCTGAGCTGGTTGGTTTAGTTGCGGAGCTTTCGTCATCCTTCTGGACAACATCTTCAGCGCAGTATTTAGCATAAAGTGGAGTGATTTAAATTTCTTCATGAGTGATAGAATTGCGTCTCCTGGTAACTATCTTTACATATGTACTGACCATTTTCTATTAACTTGGATTTTAAACTTTCTGGTCACCTGATTTACTTTTTATTAGTTGATATATTTCGTCTGGATTAACTAACGTGCTTGTTAGTTGCATTTTTGTTTGAGTACCAGGCTTCTAGGAATTCTCTGGCACTTTTGGTGTTTCCTCTGTCTAAGATTTTGACATTATCCCAATCAAATTGATGACCATAATTGTCTATATGCGTTGATACCAAAGAATATACATCGTGTCTTCTCACGGCTGATTTGTGATCTTGGATTCTAATTCGAAGGGGACGCCCACTTTGGCCGATGTAATGCTTGTTACAGTCCATACAATTTATTTTGTAAATGGTATTGATTTTCTCTCCTTTTTCTGTTGGATCTTTTGGTTTGCATAATATCGAATTAAGCGATTTGACTGGCTTGTGTGCTATATCTATTTCAAACGGTTTCAGTATTCTAGCTGTTATTTCAGAGATATTTCTCATGTACGGCAGGATGAATTTTCTTGTGGTCTTTGATGATGGTTTCTTGTTGGTGTTTTGATTCGACTTTAAACACTTTTTGATGAAATTGTGACGGGGATAACCATTCTTTTTGAAGACCGTTTGTAGATACTTTTCTTCCATTCTTTTCAACTCTGGAGTGTTTGAATTCTTTTAAACAATGTCTGCACACAGTTTCGTTTGTGAGTAACTGGATTATCGCTAGCACCGCAACTAAACCAATCAGCTCAGAGAACACTAGTAATTGCAAATCATCCACCTGAGCTACAAATCTTCTCTATTATATATTAATACTATGTCTAAACAGTAATTAAAAACGTGATATGAGTGAAATTCGCTCCTCAGTTAGTTAGTGAATAGCGCGTTCATGGTTGCGCGCTATGATAATGACAAGTGTTGTTAGCCAGCGATGATTAGCATGCGTTCAAGGTCATTGTTTAAATTCGCCGGATGTTTCATTGTTTAATTTATGTATGCATTTTCTTTGCTTTGTTTTTTTTTCTTCTTTTCTTTGGCTAATCAAACAATCAGTGATCACATTTGCAATTGACGTTACTCATCCAAAATTACTTATGAGAAAACAAAAAACTGCCTACTCAAATGTACCTGGTATCTTTTCAATATATACTGGTCAACAACAACAATGTCAGATTGGTAGTGGAGTAGATGAGGCTGACAGTAATGATGAACATCCCCTGGCTGGTATACCAGTTGAGAAATTACTACAAGTTATACAAATGCCAAAATCACTGCATAATAATTCTGATGAGTCTTCAGAGAATGATGGTGATGGAAATATTTATGAACAAGCGTTGAATCTACTTGATGCAATGGTTTCACAAATCAACTCTAGTTCACATATATAATAAAAATTCTTAATATATGTAGATATACATATTTTTGTTATTGAGTGACGTGTTCTTTTTCCATAAGGTTTCTGACTATTGCGTTACAAATTTGAGAGCCAGTTAAAATAGCATGTTCTTAACTTTGTAGATTACTTTGAAGGAGGAGGCGTTTGTTGAGATGGAATGACCAGTGTTGATGAGGTGTTCGATTACTGCACTTCTTATGCAGCCATTACTTCCTTTCTGCAGCCACGCTGGATAGTGTTCTTTGACCCTTTTTGATAGAGGATGCGTGTTGAACGATCGATGTACCTGGCTGGCTTCACAGCAACAGGTGAACTGATATATACAGATCCGATTCGGTTATTCTGAAACCTGACAAAGGATCTTGTGTAGTTGTAATGGACAGAAGTGATCACAGAACAAAAATGTTATCCACCCTTAATGACAAAAGCAAATTCATAGCCGATGTTCCTTCTGATGATATCAGAAAATTGGAAGGAAAAGTAACCTCTCACCTAGTAGAACTTCGTGGCATGGATGTTGTCGATAAACAGGAGTTTAATTCCTTGAAACTCATGGGATCTGACTTTCCAAACCTTTATGGATTACCCAAGATTCATAAGGTTGATAATCCATTACGTCCAATTCTACCAATGGTTAGCTGATGTTTGAAGTCCAGTACGCAATGAATTATGTAAGTTTACTTTGAAAGATACATACATTTGAACTTGTTGACTGTCTTGCAGATATGAATATAAAAGATAGGAAAATGTATTCATTTGATGTTAATTCTTTGTTTACTAATGTACCATTGATTAAGACTGTTGATATTCTTTGTGACTATATATCTTCTAGTTGTTTTTCATTCCTTATGTACTGACAATGTCCATTTCACGTTTGAAGGTGAACATTTTCAACTAGTGGATGGTGTTGCCTTGGAGAGTCCATTAGAACCTTTGTTTTCATGTCTTATGTTGAGAACTTGTCCCTCGATTTAATTTCTAAATTGTCCTTCTATAGGAGATATGTAGATGATATCATTTTGATATGTGACGATCATAAAGATGTGAGTCGTCTATTAGATAGACTTAACTCTGTACAGAATCATACAAGTCGTACATGCGAGGAAGAAAGTCACAACCAGCTTGCATTTTTAGACATACTTCTGAGTCGAAGAGATGATGGTTCAATGAAACGATCAATCTACAGAAAGCCCACTAGGACAGGGCAATACCTTAATTTGTGCATTACAGTATAAGAGAGGCTTGGTGAAATGTCTATTTGAGAGGATTCAACGTATTTGCACGGCTGATGTTATAGAGAAAGGAAATGAAATATTGATGGATACTCCTCTTGTTGAAGACGGATGTCCTTCGAAATTGTTAAACAGGTGTGGAAGTAAATTAGTCTTTAAACCTACAATCTATATCTCCCCTAAGAAAAATGTCTTCGTCAAATTACCATATAACGGGGAAATAAACAGTAGGATTTCGAGACAAAGGTTGAATTCGGTCATCCGTAGAACCTATTATGCAGTCTGACTTGTAATTATCGAAAAAGCCAAAAGTATGCTCCACTGCAAACCTCAGAAGTGCACAAATGATTATGTCACATCCCACACTACTTCCCTATTTTCATGTATCTGTGTGAACACATATACTTAGGGAGGAGTAATCGTGCTTTGCATGTGAGGGTGGGAGAGCATATCCCGAAATGGTTTGAAAAACAAATGAATTGTGGAAAACCAATAGACGCAGGTGTCAGACTACCAACTTCGTCTATAGCTAAACATCTAATCGAGATTAACCATAAGGTTGATGTTAACTCAGCCTTTAAGGTCATCTATCGAAAAATGGTCAAGGGCGCTTATCGGAATACGCTGAGGCTATAGCTATTCATAAACTCAATGCTCCCCCATGTATTCAAAAGCAGTTTATTATTACTCTACCCATAACCTACCTTGGTAATCCTTATTTGATTGGGTTACTAAACGTTGTGCTAATCATTCTGAAATCCTTTTTTGTCACTTTGTTTAATTTAATTGCCCTTAATTTTTTCATATATATATTGACTTGACAAGTAAATGTGTGATCAGACTGTTCGAAATGTAAAGCGCAAATACATCACATTTTTCAGATAATCTCCGTCTTCTAATAACACTATTGAAATATCCAATGAAGTTCTATTGTTCTTTCGTGTTGCTGTTTTTCTCCCCTGACCCACACTTGTATTTTTTATGTATCTGTAGTTTTTTGTCATGCTGTGTGTGTTACGTGGAGTGCGGGACCTTGAACTGCTGCACATCTGTTCGAAGTTCTTTGTTGAAAGCAGTCTGTCAGTCAGTAAAATATTAGTATATTTATATGCAGTAGGACACCATTTTTGCTAACGTAGCATTTGTTTTGATTTCTCTGAATAGGTATGGAATGTCACCACTTCAAAATGCTTTTCATCTTACTAAGTTCCCGGTCAATTACGTCAACAGTTTGTAAATGCTACGTCCAGAACGCGTTTTCTTAGAGGGTTCGATCGAAGGCTCATGGGCTTTCGCCGTGCTAATGAGTTCTTCAACGGTTAAAGGATACTCAATTACTTGTGGATTATCGGGTACGTTTAGCTTTAGACTAATAGGATTACCTTCCAAGTAAGCCGGTTTCACACAATCAATGCTGACGGTGTCTTCACGGCTTTTTTTGTCTAAAAGAAAGAATTTTTCCGTACGTTTAACTACTTTATATGGTCCGTCATACGGGGTTTCTAGAGGGCGACGCACAGAGTCGCGACGAACAAATACGTGTGACGAAGTTTTTAAACAGGGGTGAACGAAGACATCAATGGACTGTGGTAGGAGGGGAGCAGGTCTAACTGAACGCATTGCGTTTGTAAGCCTGCTGACGTAGGAGGCGTGATCTGCCGCTGGTGAGAAGCTCGAGGGAGAAACAAACTCACCTGGCCAACAAAACCGACTAGTTACGAGCTTGATGGTAGTTCGAATACCTGGGTATGATAGGCCATACAACGCATTGAAGACGTCACGGCGATATTTTTTAGACACGATGGGGCGAGGAGTACCGGTTAAAATGTCACAGAAAATAGTATCTTTTCCTATACTTAAGGGTTTCTTGGCTGATTGTAGTTATTTTCGACAACTCATGCTGAAGCTCGGTATCTTCTTTTTGAAGACGAGCCAGTTTTACTAGGTCCATGCCGTCTTTTGGGCGAGGTAACAAACGCGCGACAAGGCATCTGCCACAGTGTTGTTCACTCCGAGTACTTGGAGAATATCCGATGTAAACTGTGAAATATAGTCAAGTTGTCGTGATTCCCTGGGTGAATACTTATCTGAAATTGAGTTCAGAGAGTACGTCAGAGGTTTGTGGTCTGTGAAGATTATGAATTCACGACCCTCAACTGAATGTCAAAAATGGTGTATAGCACAGTACATAGCTAGAAGTTCTCTTCCAAACGTGCTGTACTTTGTTTCAGCTAATTGAAGGCGCCTCGAGAAAAAGGCGAGTGGTTGCCACTCGCTGTTAACTAGTTGTTGCAGAACTGCGCCGATTGCGGTGTCTGATGCATCAACTGATATACTTAACGGTGCCGTTGGATCAGGATACATAAGAAGGGTGGCATCCGTAGTGGCTTTCTTTACCTGAGCAAAAGCATTTTGAGCAGACGCGTCAAGTTCGATAGACTTGTTATTCCCTCGAAGAAGGTCTGTCAATGGCTGAATCAGAGAAGCACAGTTGGGAATAAACCGTCGGTAATAACTTACCGAGCCGTTAAAAGTGCGAGGACTTTTCACTGTTTATGGCTCTGGAAAGTTCAGTATCGCTTCGACTTTAGTAGCGAGTGGGCGAATGCCCTGGCAGTCAATAGTGTGACCCAGGAAGTCGAGTGAGTCAACGCCTATCTGACACTTTTGAATATTGATGGTAACACCATGTAGGCGTAACCTTTCAAATGCCAAGTCCAAGTGTCTAAGGGGAGTTTCCTTGTCGGGACTGGCAATGAGGCAGTCGTCCAAGTATGCGTATACAAAGTCGAGACCGCGAAATACTTCATCGATGAAGCGTTGGAATGTTTGTGCTGCATTCCGGAGGCCGAATGGCGTACGTAGAAATTCGAAAAGTCCGAAAGGCGTGATGATGGCCGTTTTCGGAATACCTTCCGTTGCCATCGGGATTTGGTTATCCGCTTTAACCAAGTCGATTTTAGAGAATATAGATGCGCCAGATAACGTTGCCGTCAAGTTGTGTATGTGAGGCAAAAGGTAGCAATCAGGGGTTGTTTTGGCGTTCACTTGCCGGTAATCACCATTTTGCTTCCTCGCTGTAGATGTTGTGATACCAGCACCAGTCAGGATTTTTGAGAGAACGTGGGTTGGACTCAGATTGACCACGTGCGTTTTGCCGTTGAGGGGATTTAAGACGACGGTAGGAGGAATTGCTAGGCATGTTTGACCTAAGAATCTGATGGATGGAGTTGCATAACTCTATCATTGCAGTACCCTTACTCGAAGTCTGTTCGGTAACTGAGTATATTTCGGTAACTGACCGTTTAGTTATCTCTAGAATTTTATCTACAGAGACAGCTAGTCATCCATAGGAACACCCTGAAGTGTCACAAGTACAGTCTGTATTGACTGTGGCAGTTTGGATACAAAGAGTTCTCTGAACAGTCATTCGTCGAACTGACTTTGACCAATGATCTCTCTCATTTTTACCAGCATGCTCACGACTGACTGATCCCCTAACTCGATGTTACGAAATAATTCATCCAGACGCTGTCGATCCGTGAGAACGTTTCTCCTGAGGAGGGATGCTTTGAGCAACTCGTACGAGTTACTTACCTCTAGAGCGTGAATAACTGCGAGGAACGTTGATCGGTTATCCCATGCTCACAAAAATCAGACTCAGCTATCTGAAACCACGTCTCAGCATTATCTGGCCAATATGGTTCGATCTGAATTGTTTTGGCGGTTGAGCGAATACGAATAACCTTGCGGGTAGGATCACTCATGACGAAATGTATGCCGATTACAATACGGTAGAAGAACAAACACAAAATGGAACGAACTCACCGGGTTTATCTGCGTGTTTATTGAAGGTGAAGTTCGTGGTTGGGCTCACCAGTGTGGTGGTTGAAGGTATCGACGTTCACGAGCTGTACGGAATATACTAACG